CCACCACCTTAGCTCCTCCCTGTCCCTTCAGTTTCTGCCCATCTTTCTTTCTCAGTTCTCAGCCTACTTCCTCCCCCTATTTGGTATTCCCTTCTTAGATACCAAAACCACAAGGGTTTTGCTTGCTTCTAACGGTTCTAACTGGGTGGAGCAAACAGTTAATTGAAAAGTTGGCAATTCGAGTCCACTCAGAGTTGCCTCAGAAGAAAAGCTTGATGATCTACTTCCAAAAAACCAGCTACTGAAAGCCTAAGCAGTTCTACTCTCACACATATAGCATTTCCATGAGTTGGAACCAGCTGTATGATAACTGGTTTAATAAAGGGGCTAATGGACTGCTGACCCCTGGTCTGGATAAAAAGCTGCCCCTTCATGTGCTGAGGGAAAAGGAAAGGAAATCGTGCTGCCTGATCCCAGCTACATGCAAGCTCTTCACACATTGTCTCATGTACTCTTTATAACAATCCTATGAGAAACGTGTTATTATTATTCTCATTTGACAAAAACAAAAACAAATAAAGTTCAAGAAGATTAAAAGTAAAAACACAGGAGTGAGTGAGGAAGACAGGATTTGAACTTAGATGCCTCTGAATCCAAAGCATTATCCTTTTCCTACACACAAACTGAAAACTTACTGCTATCGAGTCAGTCTTCACTCACAGTGACCACTCCTTGGGTTTCCAAGCAGTATCTCTATGGAAATAGATTGCCCAGTCTTCTTTTGAGGAGTCACTAGTGGGTTTGAACCCCCAGCCTTTTGGTTAATCACAAGGGTCACTGGTACAAATATTGCCTGCATGGTGACCAGTCAGTTGATCAAAACTTTTCCCTTTGTGATCAAGAACATCAAAAACATTACTGTCTTTTGAACCAGGGATTCTGCTTTTGGAACTTATCCTTTGAAAAAATGGTCAAAATTTAGGCTAACAGTACTCTAAAAATTTATTTCCTATAATATTATTCATAACAAAAAATGAAATCAGCTTAAATATCTAACACTAGCTCTGGTGGCCCAGTGCCTAAGACATCTGACTGGTAACCAAAAGGCTGGCGGTTCAAACCCACCAGCCACTCCTCGGAAGGAAGACTGGGCAATCTACTTCCATAGAGATATTGCTTTGGAAACCTAAGAAGGGGTCGCTATGAGTTGAATCAACTTGATGGCAGTGAGTTTGGGTTTTTTTTAGGGATATGGTACATACTGATTATCATATTAACATGCTTATAAATGTTAATTATCCGAGAAAATTGCTTTAATAGTAAATTTAAAAAAATACAAAAGTATATGAACAAAATGGTATTAGCCATGCAAATATAGAGATATATACAGAAATATGTCAATTTTCATCTCCAAGTGGTGTTATCATGGGTGATCTCAATTTCTTAATATTTGCTCTACAATAAGCATGTATTAAAGCATTCACCTGCTAATCAAAAGGTCGGCGTTCGAACCCACCAGCACTCTGCAGGAGAAAGATGAGGCAGTCTGCCTCCGTAAAGATTTACAGCCTTGGAAACCCTATGGGGCAGTTCTCCTCTGTCCTGAAGGGTTGCTAGGAGTCTGAATCAACTCGACAGTAGTGGATAAACATGTATTATTTTTAATTCAGGGAAAAACATTTAAGAAATTTCCATCATCAAAAAATTCTCTGAAAGATGAAGGAATATGCATGTGTGGATGAGTATAAGCATAGATATGTGTTGGGGTGTATGTGTGTGTATGTATGTGTGTGTCAGATGAATATATGAATGCATAAGTGTGGTATGAGGATGTGTAAGTGTGCATGTGTTTATGAGTGGGTATGTGGATGGGTATGTGAGAGTAGATATTTGTGTGGATGTGGATGTGTGATGTGGATGTGTGTGTATGGAGATGTGTATGTGAGTGGATGTGTGTGTGGATATATGGGTGTGTGTGGGTATGTGGAGATGTGTGTGTGTACGCATGTGTGTGAATGTATGTGTGAGTATGGGAGGAATGTGTGTGTTAGTAGATGTGTGTGTGGATGATTGTGGGTGCATTTGTGGATGGGTGTGTGTAGAGTTTCTATATGTGGGTGTGTGGATGTGTTTGTGCATGGATATGCATGTATGTGTCTGTGGGTGGATGTGTATGTGTGTGTGAGTGGATGTGTGTGTGTGTTTGTGTATAGGTATGTGTGGATGTGAGTATATGGATATGTGTGTAGGGTTTGTTTGTGGATGTGTAGGGATGTGTGTATGTATGTGTGTGAGTGTCTAGGGATGTTGGTGTGTGCGGATAGGGCACCAAATGTGAGTGAAACCTCACTACTGTACAGGGAAATCACAGTCATGGGGCACTTATATGCAATTCAAAATCCACTTGCTGCTGGATATATGAAAGAACTATTCTTAATATCTGGCTCAAAATATAGACCCTTAATTTTCTCAACTTAGCTGGAGAAGCTGCCAAAAATAAAGCAGAATGCTAATCCAGTCTACTGATGGCCAATGACAATTTTGGAGCCAGTCTAAAATAACTCAGGCAAATATTCAACAGGAGACTTTGTTTTGGTAACAAACTGAAACTACAGTGCCCTCCATCACAGGGAGTAGATTAGAAGTAGAAACAATGGCAGTAGGAATAAAGAACCCTTTTCTAGAGCTTGCTGTTGCCAGGCTGTGCTCAAAGCACCTTACATATATGAACACACTTAATCCTTACAACAACCACATGAGATATTGCTATTGCTACTACTATTTTACAGATGAGTCAAAGGAAGTACAGAGAGGCTGAGTGATTACCCAGGGGTCACACAGCTAGCAAGTGGCAAGGGAACCAAGGCCAGAATCACTTGCTTGTAGGCTACTTGATCTTGGATGAGTTTCTCAGCCTCTCTCATTCCTGTCTCTAAAATGAATGTTTCCAATAATAAAGTCCCAGATAACTTTAAGTTTTTGGTGCTAGGAAGGGCACCATGGTGTGACCCACCTGCCAGTTTCCCATGTGGCTCACAGGAGCTAGCTCTGGCTGTGCCCCTGAGCACTGCCATTCTCACAAGCAAGAATCAGGTGACCTTCTGATACCACTGCCCTTGGCCAGAAGAGGGCTGCTTACCTGGGCCTCGGCCATGTCTCTTCTTCTGCAGGAACTGAGGTCCTGGCGGGGCTGGCGGTGTGGGCAAGGCCTGCACACTGGGCTTCTGGGGCTGGGCCTGGAAGCTGGGGGACTTGGGGGGTAGCGGGGGTGGTACATCACTGCTGTTATTTGCACCTGGCAAAGGGGGTGTGGGCACAGAAGACCTAGGGGAGCATGAGGCATAAATGGGGTGTGGGGATGGCAGGGGTGGTGGGGGTGGAGGAGCTGGAGGAGCTGGGGGCTCCCGCACATCTTGGGTGGGGCTCCCAGCATCTGCATTGAGCCCAGGATACCCACAGGGTGGGAGAAGGGGGAGTGGGGGTGGGATGGGTGGCAGGTGCAAGGGGGTTAGCTGAGGCTTTATGGC